GAAGCAAAACATCTTCAAGGAAAAACAAAGAAAATCCAGTTGCCTCTTGGAAAAAAAATCACTTTTGGGATAAGAACTGCATTCTTGCACTTTAGTTCCTGAACCTACTAATGCTTCTGATGCTACACACAAACAACAAGCAGAATTCTAAAAATGGCACCTGCTGTTTCTTGGGAAATTAACCCTTCACAGACCATTATCCATTTCATAACAGCCCCAGGAAAAGTCAGAGATTTTTTTTAATTTTTTTTAGATTTAGAAGTTTATTTATATGCCGCCCTTTTCCCTGAGGGGACTCAGGGCGGCTTACAACTTGAAAAGGGGGGGGGGGGGGGGGGAGAAATTGACAAGAAGCATCTTTGGTTGCTGGAAGAGTTGGAAAAAGAAAGTAAGCTCAGAGTTACCTTGTGCTAAGGTGGGCAATCAATTTTAGAAAGAAAGAAATAAGCAAACAATGGGAATGGAGGACTTAAAAGGGTGTCTATTGAAGAGGGTCAACAATAGAAGGGTGAACTTAGAAGAGGGCCAACAATGAATGGATTTATTAATATAAAAGTCAGGGGCCATCACAATATAAAACAATATAAAATAATATAAAAGTCAGGGGCCATCACAAAATACATCTACTGTGATCATACAGGGAGTTGCTTGATCCTGTCACCCAAGAGAGGAAGAAAGACTGAGATAGAGAACGGATCAAGAGGACAGAGAAGGCCAAGAATGTCACGAATAGATGCAGCGGATAGATCCTTCAAGAGAGAGGAGAGCAGCTCAGATAACAAAAGGTAATGTACATGGAGATGGTGGAAATCAGGATGGTTTGTGAAAAGAGAACGACAGAAAGAAGTATGGTGAAGCGTGTGGGTAAACGAGAGTTAATGATGTTCCTTTTTCACCTTCTCATGCCTTTGGTTCAGTATTTCTCTCTCTTTTTCATTTTGTGTAACTTTGCCTATCCTAATCTCCTGATGAGTCTCTCTTTCTCTCACCAATAAATATTCGGAATAAAATTTATATCTGGCTAACTGTCAACTAATGTGCAAAGTGTGCATAATTAGTACCAATGACTATATTGCAGAAATAGAGCAAAAAAGATATAGATCAGGGCAGGGGTGAAATTCAGCAGGTTGTGACAGGTTGTGGAGAACCGGTAGCAGAAAGTTTGAGTAATTCGGGAAACTGGCAAATATCACTTCTGGTATCAGTGGGGTGGGAGTGCAGATTTTGCAATATCCTTCCCCCAGGAGTGGGGTGGCAATGGAGATTTTCAGAATCCTTCCCTTACCATGCCCACCAAGCCACGGCCACACACCCGGTAGTAAAAAAAATTGAATTTCACCAAAATTCAGGGGTGTCAAACTCAAAGCCCGAGGGCTGGATCTGGCCTATACATTGTACTGAGCAGCAGTTTTTAAAATTAATCATCATATCTTGTTCATCATCTCCTCCCTGGATCAGTGATGGGAGTTTTAGAGAAGATCACCAACCAGTTTAAAATCTGGTTTCACAAATACTTTACGCAATGATCAAATCGTTGGGAGACCATTTTAATGGAGTTATTGTTATCCAATTTGTAGACAAATTGGATTGTAATCCCTTTCATTTGCAGACAAATTGGATTGTAATCCCTTTCACCTCCTACTCCTCCTTATTTGTTTGCTGGCTGTTACTTCAGCTAATACTTTCTTGTTCCTAGCACTTGGTAAGAATTGCATGCTTGTTTGGTTTCCAGGCGTAAAGCTGGAATTTACAACTGAAAGAAAAATTGAACAACCACTCTTCAGAATAAAGAATCCTGGTAGTTCTCAATTTATGATCACAATTGAGCCCAAAATTTCTGTTAAATGAGCTTTTTTGTTAAGTGAGTTTTGCCCCATTTTATGACATTTCTTGCCACAGTTGTTAAGTGAGTCAGTGCAGTGGATGAGTTAGTAATTAGGTTAAGCGATTCTGACTTCCCCATTGCTTGTGAGAAGGTTGCAAAACGGGATCCCATGACCCTGAGCCACAACCGTCATAAACATGAACCAGATGCCAAGTGTCTGAATTTTTATCATGTGATTATGGGGATGCTACAAAGGTCATTAAATGTGAAAAATGGTCATAAGTCACATTTTTACTGCTGTTGTAACTTTGAACTGTCACTAAACAAACTGTTGTAATTCAAGGAATACCTGTCCTTGTACAATAAAAACTCCGAATGGGTCTAACTAAATTTGGAATGTGATTTTTGTCTTTTCAACAAAACAGTATTATTTTTTTGCTACTGGTGTTCAAGCTGCAAGTCAGCCCAATTTCTTGCTTTATAGGTATGCATGCAGAATGGGTGTACACAGTGCCCCCAGCCATATGATAATTGATATGATAAGTCTTTTCAAAAGCCATGAAAGTCCATCTTTACTTGTCAAACATTTTTAAGTGTTAACATTACCATGGGTTCTACACAGCGTTGATTTGGCTAACTCTAAAACGGGCGTCTGAAAATGAAATTATTCTTTAAAGCAGTCATATTTTTGACAGACTCCCAATGTCTCATGATGAGGAATTATGGATGGATAGGAATGTATCTGCTTTTGAGAAATCTGATCATATTACTATTACATTTATTTGCCTTCCTATCTTGCCATCAGGCTACTCATAACCATAACGAGGCGGCTCATAACCATAAACAAAAATGAAGAAATTAAAAAGTTTAAACAAAACATGGAAGGGACGGACGACGACAAAGAACATACATTGATTTTTGTTGGCTCAGCTGAGACTGCAACTATCACTGGCCATAATACAACATGTAGCATAAAATACAGAAGTCTCTGAACAACATGCAGAATGTTTGTGAATTTTGACAAGAAGGTATTAGCTCTTTGCATAAATAAATGTACATGGAGGGCCTGAGCTGTCTGGATTCAGGATTTGCCTTGTTATTGCTGTTTTCTAAAGAAAATACTTTGTGCTTACCGTCCAAGTATCCAAGCAATGAAACAGCCAAACACCAAATCAAAGGCTTGCAGGAACTTCATTGGAAAAATGGTTGGTGCAGCTGCCCTAAGCAATTGCCTCTAAGAAATTTGATCCAAAATAAATTAATGCCCATTGGACCTTCATGCATAATGCTGACTCTACACATTGGAACTACTTATTCCATGTTATCTTCATTGGATTAAAATAAGCTTCTCTCTCTATGCTGGGGGTAAATTTAAAGAAGTGAAATGGCCAATAGTGAAGAATTAGCTCAATGAAAGGTAGCCGAGGCTAGCACACCAGCCTATTTACACAATGGTAAATATTTTGATAATGGCAATAATTATCTTCTTTACTGAAGATATTTCATGCACGCAGAAAGAATTTAAGGGATGTGCATGAAGGGAGTCAGCATACCAATAGAAAACATTTATAGCTCAGAATTGAATTGGGGGTTCTGGTGATCTCTAAGCCTAATTGCTCTCTTGCAGACATCTCATGACCCAACTAGGTTACATCATCAATGCATTGTAATGAAACACCTGCAAAACAAACAAACAAACCCAAGCTTAGACAGCAACTAAGTTCTCCACGGAAAGAAAACTGGTTCTTCTTTTAAAGCTCTCAGTCCCAGACATTGCTAGGCAACAATATGTGCTGAGAACATGGATGTCCTATGCACTGATGCTGCTGCCTACTTGGGTCATGAAACGTCTGCCAAAAAAACCCAAAAACCTCCCAGTTCAGAGACTATCAAGGACCCCGCAGACATCAACCCATTTAATTTTCCCAGGGCGGCAATCTAAGCATTGGGCGCCACTGCCGTTGGACGATCTCCATGGAGAAACATGAAACTTCTTTTATTACTCCCCCACCCACCCCCCGGCCTTCTAGGTTTGAATCCGAGCGGGAAAAGCTGTTGCGGAGAGGGGGGCGGGGCCAGTGGAACGTTCGCTGGGCGGGCGGCGGCCAAGCGCCAGTGCGCGTGCGCCGCGGGTGACGCGACATCAGCTGTCAGCGGGGTGGGGCCGGAGCCGGCAGCCAGTTCCGGTTACGGACGAGGGCGGCCCAGCCGAGGGACGGACGGACAGGCGAGCTCCTCCTCCTCCTCCGAAGACGGCCGCCGGCTCGCCTCGCCTCGCTTGCTCCACTTCTGCGGTGAGTGAGGGTGGGTGGGAATCAAGGGCAGCCACGCCGGGACCCCCAACCCTGGGGAAGAAGGGAGACCCTATTTCCCAATGGCTGGAATGCCTCTTTTCGCCTTCCCGTCACCTCTGTCTCTCTCCCTCCTTCTGCCTCTATTCCCTCTATTTATCCTTCTCCCTCTCTCCCTATTCCCTCCCCCCTCTCTTTCTCTCTTTCTCTCCCTACCTTGCTCAGACCTTGCTCAGGTTGTCGGAAATATTTAAAAATGCCTTCTGAAAATCTCTCTCCATCATCTCTAGCTATCTAGCTATCATATCTACCTATCATCTATCATCTCTCCCTCCCTCCCTATCTCTCTCTCTCTCTCTCACACACACACACCTCTAGCTATCATATCTATTTATCTCTCCATCCATATCTCTCCATCTTTGTCTCTATGATCTCTAGCATTATCTATCTATCCTCTCTCTCATCTCTAGCTATCATTATCTATCTATGTATCCATCCATCCATCTATCTTTCTCTCTCTCTCATCTCTAGCTATCATATCTATCATCAATCATCCATCTCTCTCTATCTGTCTCTCTGTCATCTCTAGCTATCATATCTATCTATTATCTCATCTCTAGCTATTATCTCTATCTATATCTGTCTGTCTGTCTGTCTATCTATCTATCCATATCCATCTATCTATCTATCTATCTATCTATCTATCTATCTATCTATCTATCTATCTATCTATCTATCTATCTATCATTTATCTAATCTACCTATCTGCCTATCATCTAATCTATCTCCATCCATCTCTCCTCACTTTCTCTTCCTATTCCTGCCTTCTCATCTATCTATATCTACCCCCCTCCCCCCCTCCCTCCCTCTCTCTCTCTCTCTCTCTCTCTTTCTTTTTCTTTCCATCCCTGTATTTATTGATCTCGTTTGTGAACTGCTCATGTTCCTCTGAGAAATGCATGAAAGGGGCCGTTTCTTTAGGAGAGAAAGGGGGAGGCCTCCTGGTCTAACTTGGGCTTTGCTCTCTGCCTCCCGTGACTAGCAGAAATGGCCAAAGTGCCTCTTCCCCTCCCCCACCTCTGCAGAAGGGGAGCCTGCTGGGAGTCCTCTGCCAAGAGGGTCTCCTTCCCCAGGGCCTGGGAGGGTCTCTTCTGCACGGATGGGGAGGGGGGGAATAGAGCAGCCCACCCAGCACAAAAGGCTTCTCATTCCAAAGATTAATTAAAGGCAATTCAATTGAAGATGACCTCGGAGCTC